TGGCTCACCTTATAGAAAGAACATATGGGCCGGAATTTATAACAAGCAACATACACCTTGCACTTCATATTCCCGACTGTTGCCGTGACTATGGTTCCATATATAGTTTTTGGCTTTTTCCATATGAGAGACTTAATGGATATATTGGTAAGATGTTTGTTGTTATATTACTATTTTTTAAAAATAAAGAATACAAATAAATCTATTATTATTATCCAGGATCATACCCTAATAGTAATCGACAAATATATCCTGTACTTATTTGAATCGTTCTTAAGAATACTTTAATAGATTATCATTTATCTTATAAATGGTCATCTTGTCTTCTAAAAGAATCTCTTAGTCTTATTATGCCAAATTAAGCTGTGGGTAGTTTGGCATTTACGGCAGAAAAGGATGAGTTACAACACTTTTTGTCTATGAGACATAATACATCTACGTTTTCCAAAATATATGGTACTGAGAAATTACCAGGTTAAATGCTTAATCCTTCGTGTTTCAAAGTTATTATATCTTTAGAATTGCGTAGATTTCTATGTGAATGGTATTCTATATTATATGAAAAAGAACAAAATGAAATATTAGGATTTATGGACCTGGTAATTGATCAACACGCAAGATTACAAATTGGTGCTGAAATATTTGGATCTATGATTTCGGGTCATCAAGAAAAAAATGTAACTATTCTTGCAAAATGGAAAGCGTCTAATGATGATTCAGTTGATATATACCCAGGAGATGTTCAATATTATTTTGAACATACACTTAGATTACCTGAAGGACCAAGAAAACATCTTCTAGCATATGTTAAGTGGTATAAAAGTGCACCTTCCTCTGATATCCGGTTTAAACATAGATTCATAGAACTAGAGATATCAAATACCAAACTATGGCAAGCTGAATACTTTCAGGAAGGTTGTGATTCAATAATAGCTATTCATAGAATACTATGTAGAGCTACAAAATTCAAAAGTGTGTGCGTAGGAAAAAGGAAATATTTGTCAATAATACCATTAAATAGAAAATTTAATTTATAGATTTCTTTAAAAATTAACATTTCATTGTATTACATTCGATAATAAAGGTAATACGGTCATACAGAATACAATAATAAAATTTCCTTTTATAATAATTAAAATTGATCATTACACCAAAATCATAAATTGCTAAATTTGTTAAGTGACAATATTAAATTTTGCTCGTAGACAAAGTCAAAATTAACCTTATATAGAATAAAGATCTACTGATGATTAATTCTCGATTAATATTTAATTATGCAGACGCAAATTTTTACAATTACTTTACAATTAAAATT